GAGTGAAGACTAGAAAAGTCCTATTAACAGCAGGATACAGCTGGATCTCTGCACTAAGCTGTATGTAATTATATCTTATAGGTAATTAGGTTGTGGGACTCACTGGCTAGTAGCCAGGTTTAAAGGATCCTCGTGAGAACCAGATGATTTGGACTGTTTCTCTTGGAAAGGAGATGAGTAAGGGAGAAATTTAAATATCCACAAAAGCCTCACTGGCCTTGAGAAGAGTGAAGAACTCTTGTTTTTTTCCAGCTTTTAGCATTAAGATAAGAGGCAGTTGAAAAACAACAGAAAAAGTATTTTTGCAGTGTTTAAGTGAGCTGTGATACTGTCCTTAAACCATGACAGGTATTTAACACCATTAGAAGTCCTCAAGCTGAGAAGGTATGAAGTTTAAGAAGAGACTGTTCAGAGGATCAAGCAAAGTAATTACTTCTAGTTAGCATTAAACTTTGTGAAGCACATAAACATCAGAGCTGATGTCCAGTTTTGCGCAGGTTTAAAGGCAGAAGATAAAGGATAAGATTATTTTTTACAAACTACACTACACCAGGCAGTCATTTAAGGTACAAAATCTGGGATGATGCTGGTGCTGATGCTGATAGAGGGTCCATGTGTTAGCTATGAGCTGCTGACAGTGTGCAGATAGTCAGGTGAGCTTACAGACCCCAGAAAAAAATTTCTGGTCCATAGACCTGAGTCTTTCTTGTAGCTGATTTTTTTCTTAGCTCTTACGAACTCTGTTAGTGCCTGCAAGGTAATAAATAGGACTTATCTGTCTCTAACTTTGGAGGTAAATAAACAATATCAGTGATATTCTTATGAACCTGTCTTAGACATTCTAGAACTCGCAGAATCACAGAATCATAGAATCATAAAAGAGTTAGGGTTGGAAAGGGCTTTAAGATCACCTAGTTCCAACCCCCCTGCCATGGGCAGGGACATCTCCCACTAAACCATGCCACCCAAGGCTCTGTCCAACCTGGCCTTGAACACTGCCAGGGATGGAGCATTCACAACTTCCTTGGGCAACCCATTCCAGTGCCTTACAGTAAAAACTTCCTCCTTATATGCAACCTAAATTTCCTCTAAGTTTTAATCCGTTGCCCCTTGTCCTATCACTACAGTCCCTAAATGAATGGTTTTGTCTTACTAAATGTGTACATTAGTATGACACAGTGTTTGTTGTCACAAGTCAAATAAAGCCATAGCCATGGGAACAATCAGTCATTCCCTGAGGAGGCTGTTTGAGATCACTCTGGCTGGGGAGAACCTCCATCTCCACATCTTTTCTTACTGATTCAGTGGGGCTCACAGGATCAGTGAGTGTTTTCTGTAAGTGCCAGGTAAGCTGATCAAGGCATTGGAGGCGTATGATGTTTTCCAGGTGGGTGTTTGAATAATGTTTTGGAAAATTAGATCGAGATCCAGGCTATCCACAAGGGTGCCCAGATGGTATTCTGTGACCACTACAGAAAAATCTCTTCTCCCAACAGAGAACATACTCCATCTGCCCCAGTGAGAGCTGTGCGTGCCAGGCAAGGAGGAAAGTGGACAGGCAGAGCAGTAGTTCCTGACAAGATTGGGCACAATGTTGGCTTTTTAATAGGGTATAAGTAAACCTTTGAGCAGGAAAATCAATTAATTTCAGGTCGGTACTGGCACAGTCTAGACTAAAAAAAATCAAAGCAATTCAACATTATTTTGCCTCTGACCTGAAAAAGAAGAGAGAAGTACCTTTTAACAGCATAGATGGATATTCACAACAGCAATCTGAGCTTTGAAGCTCTTTCCTATTTGCAGGCGTCTAGACAAGCAAGGCTTATATGACGGAACTGAGAGCCGTGTGTGATTGGCTAACATGTGGGAAAGGAGAAAAGGTGTGATGTGAGGGTTTTAATAGACTTCACTACTAATTTGTCAGTGAGCTTACATTCATTTTTTCCAGTCAAACAGTTATCAATTTGTTTCACATGCAACAAGGTAATTGTTACCTGTTTCTTCATAGTGGTCTTTTTGGTGTGGTTAATAGCTATGTCTTGGCTTCGAGCATCTGATATCTTCATAAAAGTGCAACTTTTCCTCCTTCTGTTCCCACTTCCCTGATCTGTAAAATCCCAGCAGTCTGAAAGGCAGAGCCAGTGCATCCAAGCACAGGAGAAGGGTGAATTTTTAATTGAATTTCAGCCAAGATTTCGGAGAACAAAGCTCTCAGAGGAGCTCAGAGCCATAGCCCAGATCCTTTGGTTTTATTTTCTGAATTCTGATATTAAAAAAAAAGATTACATGTTGATTGAGAATAGCAGTTAAGCCGCATGATCTCTTGAGCAAATGACTTTATGCATAGAAATAAGTTCAGGTTATCAATATGGCTTTCAGGCTGGCCCTCTTGTTTGCTCAGCTCAGAGCATGGATAATGCAACAGTCTGGTTGTCTACTTTCATCCATCCAGACATTACCATCTTCTCAAATCACTTTTCAGTTTAGCAAGGCAAATATCCTTTTCCCATCACAATAATTCATCTGTTTGTCCATCTGCTAATGTTATGTTGGTGACCACAGGCACGCAATGGTATACAGATCTTCACATTCTCACCACACTTTCTGCACTAGAAATTTGGCAGCTATAAGAAAAAACAGAATTGCTCTCTACAGACATAAACAGCTTACCTGTAAGACTGGAACTGGTCAGAAATGTCCATCTTCATCACTTTGGCGCCCTCTAAATATTGACTCCTGTTCTCCATATACTAAAACACGAACTACTTCATAGACCCACAAACCTGCTTTTCCCTTGAAGTCTGCTTCTGGCATCACCTTTCTCTGAATGGCGCAATACCTTCCACTTTTATATTTGATCACTTTTGCTTGCCCTGACATGCTTTAATTTGACAGTTCCTAATATAGCTGTGCCTAATGAGACAAATCCAGTAGCAGAAGTACTAATTGTGGCTGCACTAACTGTTTCATATCAATTTTCCTGGGCAATAAATACTAAAAAAATCATTATTCATCGTATGCCACTACAGTGAGAGAATGCATGCCATCCCTGGAAAACATTTAATTTCTCCTTTGCAATGAACCTAACGGATGCAAGACCACAGCCTGAGACCGAGAGAAAAAAATATAGTCATGGGCACTATGTATGTTGTTACATTTCTCAGAAAGAGGCCCCAGGGAAGAAAAGGGCTTCATGTAAGAAACTGTTTTAGAACTGAGATAATTTGTAGCCATAATAAGATCAACATTTATATGTAAGAATAAGTAAATATTGACTAGGTAAACAGAGCCTGAGAAGCAGATCAATCTATTTCTCTCTTAGGAATACAGAGGAATTAACGAGCTTAATAATGTTCAATATTTCAGATTCAGAGACTAAAATGCCCTGTGTATCCTGAAGAAGCAAAAGACCATTATATATAACCTCCTTCCCTCCTCCCCCAATAAATAATTCAACCACACACACACACACATACACACACACACAGCCCCAACAGAACAACCAGAAAGAAACGATGTCAACTGTTCCTGGAGGATGCAGGTTCCCCATCCAACAAGACTGTCATGGATGTTCATTACATAGTCTTATAAACACTTAACAATCAATCAATGTCATCCACAAAGCACTGTTCAGAGGATCAATTTATTTCCAGCTTTCCTCTGCTATTAAATAAAAAATGCAGCAGACAAGGAGCTTTAATTTTGCATGAGTGGGCTTTTACAAACCAAATGTGCCTTTCAACGCATGCATTTAAATCAGATAGATATTAGAGGACATTTGGAAGCACATTTGGGAGCACATTTCCATGTGCATATGGAAAAAGAAGGTGGAAACCCATAGTGCAGTCTGTACTCCCTGATGTCAGGGAGTATATCCTGACATACTGCTTATACCAGAGAGGAAAGAACTCATCACCTTAGAACGAATGTGTTTTCTCCAGCTCCTTGTCTGCAGGACCCTCCAGTGAGCAGAGGAAGGTAGGGTGCATTTTTCTGAATTTGGTTTTCTAGTATAAGTCCCTGGCTTTTGTGGCCTCAGAAATTGCTTGAGGGATAGCACACAATAGCAGAGGTGTTATTCCTAAAGAAGCATTGTCCTAAAGAAACACTGGAGTCACTTTCAAAATAGAACTCTAATGGCTGACCTGACAGATGCTCCATCCAAAGAATAAACAGCCATTTTATCAAGAGCATGGAAATGCTTGTGACTAAGAGAATGGTACAATTCGTTATGTTCTCTCTCTCCCTTGTTAATGGAAAATAGTGACTAGGTAATATCGGTTACTTCAGCCTTGGAGTGCTTAGCAGTGCAGGTGTAGGGTGATGATACAGTTCATTTTAAACCACTGAACAAAGTGTAGCAACCTCTTAAAATTTGTTGGCAGAGACACAACAGCTGAGCAACAGATCCACCAGACTTTGCTATTTACCCCAAATTATACCTTACTACTGAAAAATCTTTCATTAAATACCTGGGACTTTCATGGTGACCAGTTCTCTTCCTCTTGACCAGCCTTACAGGCACTTCTATCCTCCATGGAGGCACCTAACAAGCATCTAAAAACTTAAACATCTGTTCTAGACTTCTGTGGTCAATGAAAGACAGGGGCAGCCTTAGAGGGCTAATCCTCCTACAGGTGGCTATGCTGCCTGGGATACCTGAGGTGACCCTCATTATTGACTACTGGTACATATAGAGAGAGCACATACGCAGAGGTGCTTGCAGATTGCAGTGTTGGGTAAGGTGCTGGAAAAAATGATATCCTGGAAACATACCTTACAACATTCCCGCACCTGCTGAGTGTGAGAAGATGGAGCACCTGGAGCCTGACACCTCGTTGCTGGAACCCTTTGCCCAGGCAGCCAAGGGAGTCCGGGGGATCCTGGTGATTGGTCCCTCCTCCAACACCCTGCGAGTGGTGGAGGCTGACGGGAAGGCTGTCTGCGAGGGGAGGGGGGAGAGAGGAGGAGGTGGCTTCTTCCTGACGCCATTTCCGAGGGGCTGAGATATATAAATGAGCCCGTTGCTGCAGTGCCCCATCTGGGATTTTGAGCCAGGGCACTGGCGCAGACACACACGCACGGCGCTGGTATCCCCCCGGCACCTCGCCCAGAAGCCCCCACGCCAGGGACACTATCACCCTCTGAACTTTTCTCCTTCCATCTATCCCGCCGGCATCATGAGCCGCCCAGGACTGCTCGCCGTCCTGCTCCTGGCCGTGCCGGGTAAGTGGGACCTGGCTGGGGTCCGTGTCTCCAGTACTCCCGGGACCCCCAGCCCCGTGTACAGCCGTGCCCCCGCCCTCCTCTGTTGCCGCCGCGGCCCCTTCAGCACCGTGGACAGGGATTATCCTCCCCCCATTAAGCACCGCGGACAGCGGCCACTGCAAGGTCACTGCCCGGGACCGCGAACAGTAACTTCCCTTCCTTCCCCTTCCCATTCCCCTTCCCCTTCCCCTTCCCCTTCCCCTTCCCTCTCCCCAGGGAAGGCTGTACAATGCAGACATCCAGCTGCTGCACCCAGGGACTACTTATACCAGAGAGAGATTCCTCTCTTCTCCACTCCCATTTTTTAGCAGGATGCTACTTCTCTGCTTGTCTCCCAGAGGTGAATAACAAGCTCTTTTTTTCCCTCCCCTCACCTTACAGTCATCTCCCTTCCTGTGACAAACGACATGAATAAAGGCGACACTAAGGTAAGGATGGGCCTGTAACGGAAGGGATGAGTTAAGATAAAGGATATAATGCTTAATCTGGTTGGTTTTGGGTTTCTGCTGATCCTGTAGGAAGTGAAAGGGATTTGCATGAGATCCCCACAGCAGGATCCATCCCCACTCCTTTCTTATTAGTATTTACCCTTTGTGCATCCACTTCTGGGCACCTGGGCAGGAAAAAAGTCCCTCAGGATGTACCAAAAGGATCAACAAACTGAGAAATGAGGAGGCTGGGGATGAAGGTTGGGTATAACCCTCCCTAGTGCTCCTACTTTCAGCTTTTCAAAGCTCCTAACAGGAGGTGACTCAGGGGAGAGTGGGGGGAGATGTGATTCAAGAATGGGCATTGCTGGAACTGTGTATGTTTCAGAGAATGTATACATCTGAGTTTGTGTGTGTTACTTAAACATACATGTTCCTGAAGAATAGGCAACTGACTATTCTCAGATTGCTAATCCATCCTCAGTTACTGCTTAGCCTCTCTGGGCAGCCATGAGCAGTGTGGGACTTGGCTGACCTCTCCAGCCTTCTTTCATAGGCTTCCATACATATATCTGTGTCATACCTCTCTGTCTTCCACAGCTGCAGTTCACAAGTGTGTGTGCTCCCAATGGCACCTAGATGCTTACATAGGTGTGTTTGCCTGTGTTGAGATGTGACAAATACACCCTCACTCTTCTGTCCCCCTCCCCCCCCATATTATACATATAGCCTTTCAGATGGCTGATCTATTTTAGTTGCTCAAATTAAGAATTCTACAACTTCTAATTTAGTATAAATTAATGTCCAGAAAGGAAATTCCAGCTATTTCCGCCTTACTCCTTCAGCTGCTTTGTTTCATGAGAACTTCTAGCCACATCATATTTTTCCCCCAGCAGCAGTAGGGGAGGGAACAATCATGTCAGTCTCAGGCACAGGCTCCATTGTACAGTGTCTCTGCTCATTACCTTCAGGGCAAGTGCCATGAGCAGTGCCCCTCTGTCTCCTGTCAGATGTGCCTGGGGCTGGAGAGCTTTGTTAAGAGTTTTAGCCTGCTTAGCCATGGCTGCGGCTGAGCCACGACCTGTGAGCCACTGGGTTCCTGCTTCAGGCTGTGTGCTACTGACTGAGAAAGGGGACTCGGGGCAGGCACTTGCCCCTTCAACTGGCCATGCCAAAGTGGCTCTTCGGCCATCTGGTGGGACAATCCATGAATTTCACAATTTTCCCTGTGAAATCTATTTCCAGGATGTAAAACATGGCATTTTGTGGAAACTGGTGCAGCTCCATGGAAATGCTTCCACCAAGGACAGATTCTTTCCTGAGCTTGTCCTCTCCCTGGGTACTACACTGACACAGTCTCTAGCTGAGAGCAAAATCAGACCACACCTTTCTTTTGAATTTGCTGCAACTACAAGGAGCCATTGGGCTTTTCTGCCCTCACTATTCCCTGAGACACAGCATGGTCTCCTGTGACAAATCAGGGCAGGGATATCATCACATGGGTACAGAAGTGAGCACTGCAGTTTTTCCTACACACCTGTACCACCAGCTTATGTGCCACATGCTCTGTGCCACCAGCATTTTTGGGTGGGTCAGTGCACCCACAAATGCAGTGGCTAGTGTAGTGGCTAGTCAGCATACGCAGGCCTTTCCTGGGCAGCTCATCCTACTTACCTTACACAAAGGGCTTTCCATGGAGAGCTGAACATGACCAAAACATTTACAATATCTCTGGTGTTTGCCCACTCTTTTGCTCAAAGGACACTATTTCCCAATTTCAAGCATACATTTCAGAAGGTCCTGAGCATAGCTGAGCTCAAATGTGTCGAAGTCTATCTTTGTAAGGACACAATCCTTTGGAGATTTCTGTGTAGGGACAGCATGACAGCTCTTAAGGATCTAGTTACATGCTCATGGTTAGAGGATAGCTATGGCAAAATTCCAGTCTGAGTTCCTGCACTGGATTAATTACATTCATTTGGAAAGGATCTCCTCCATGTGCTGATGCAGGCTGGTATTTCATGACCTTGTGAAGCCTCACTCTGTTCTTATAAAACGTCCAGGAGTATTGTGTAATGACTGCACTCTTCCTTTCATTATGCTGCAAAATTCGTCCTCAGAGTTGGCCATATTTCTCTGGTGACTGATGTGTTTCTTTGTGTTCAGACAAAGACCTTAAATCGGCTCAGCAGTCTTCAAAAAGCTTGTATAGAACATTTCATTGGACCAGACTCTTATTTCTCATGCTGAGAAAGTTTTTAAGCTGCATCCAGCAATAACTGGCTTCATAGGCTGGGAAATGTGGGAAGCGAAGTATCAGAATCTGGGGTTTCTTCTATTTAATAGTAGAGTGAAGTGACTCAAAGTCATCTAAAATCAATCTTAATGGATTGCTTGTGGTAAAGCAGAATGATACCAGGGAAATTTCCCTGCTTTCCTTTTAGATCTTTCCTGTAATATTTTTATTCAAGCAGGCAATACCTTCAAACTCTCAAGTAGTTAAAAGAGCTCAGCATTACCTGCAAAAGCAGAATTCTCTCCTTTCACTGGGTGAAAATTTTCCCATTCCAGCTGGTCAATGAATATAGCCAATTGCTTCAATGAGAAACATTGTAGATGCCTGGGATTTGCTGAGTGGTGTTTAATTTCAGTGCTGCCACACTGCACTGCTCTCCTGAGAATGGCACATTGTGAGGGAGATGAAGGCTCTTAGGGCTGCCTGCAGAAATCAACAGGAGAAAGAGCTTCAGTGAGTGGGGTTTTTGCCCCCAAGGCTTACTTATATTCTTTTTTTTCAATTTATCCTTTCTTTTTCCACAGGCACTTGTGAGATCTGCATACTTTCCAGGCTGCTTTAGAAATAATCATCCCTTTTAAACTAAGCAGCCTGATTCCTGTGCTGCTAACTGGTACCGGACTGTAGTGAATTCCGCTTTCCCTCCTGTGTGACCATTTGGGTCTACCATAAACACACAGCAGGGCTCCTGGTGTGTGTCTCAGTGTGTGGCAAGGATGCCTTCACCCCTGCCAGAGGTGCCATCTTGCCTTTGTGCTTGTGGCTTTATTCTCCCACCACACATACAGCATTGGGCGATCCCTGTGGGATCGGCAGTGCTGTAGTTGCATGGATGAAGAGCTAGGCCTGCAATCCCAGTATAGGTAACAAACTAGATAAATAATGCTTCTCATTTTACACCTGGGCTGCTGGAAAGGGCAGACCCAGAGCTCATTCTGTCTGGGAAGCTGCCTCAGACAGTTGCAAATGCTTCCAAGGGAAGAGCAGGAACTTCCTTATTTTCAGGTAACCCAGCTCCATGTACAGATCTTCCAGTCTATAACAGATGTCTTGAACACTCAAGCACAAGGTCAAACACTTCTCCAGAATGTCTTGTCCTTCTCTAGGGCTTGAGAGAAGTATTTCTCATCCCTGTTTGAAAGTACCTTTTGTTCCACTTTGCCCTCTGTGCCTGGCTGCAGTCTAATTATGGTGCCCTTCTCAGAGCTTGTATAGCTTGCAAGATTTCAAGGTCACCTGCTGAAAAGCTATGACCACTTGTTGCTCTCTACAACCTCCCACTGAGACCTTTTATGAGATATACTGACTTGGAACAGGATGATTTTGAGCTTTCTATGTATATATCCAGATCTCCTTTAATTTCCTGATGTGTTCAGCCTCTGGGATGGGCTGGAGCCATGAGATCTCCAGCTGAAGTGTGTGTCATGTTGAAGAAGCTCTGCACATTGCTATGTGTCATTTGCTCACTTCGTAGTTTCAGGAGGTACCTTCTGTTCCTGGGTTAGGTAGAAGAGGAACTGAACATTCAGTTCTGACTCAATCAGAAAGGCAAAGCCTGTACCATCATCTGCCTCATTTTAGGCTTGTAAGAAATAGATTTAGGGAAAAAAAAATACAAAAGAGCAGTTCTTTAATTTGTATTTTCATCTCTTTCTAGGTGATGAAGTGTATTGTAGAAGTCATCTCTGATACTTTGTCAAAGCCAAACCCCCTGCCAATCAGCGAGGAATGCCTAGAAACACTCAGAGGAGGTACAGGCTCAGATTTAATGCTGGGTATCAGTGAGAGCCAATCTGGCATCTGACAAGGGGTCCCCCATACTCACCTTCCTCATGGTCATGCCACTGGGCTGCACCAGGCCCCAGAAGTGGTGACAGAGCTACTGCTCAGCCCAGGCCATGCACCACGCTGGCATTGTGGCTGGGGGTGCTGGCTGACATGAAGCTGCCTGGTTTTCATGGGACCTTCCTGTCATCTTAACCACATGGTTAAGAGATGTGGCAGCAAACTATACTATGGGAGAGAAAACAGCAAACAAAGAGGGAATTGGTATTTTGGGTTCTTTTTCATTTCTTGGGGGTGGTGGGAGGTTGCCTTTGACCACCTTCTGTACCAAGTCTCCCTATTGCAGATGAACGAATCATTTCTATCCTTCGCCACCAAAATTTATTGAAGGAACTTCAGGAAATTGCTGCTCAAGGTACAGTGTCACTATAGTTATTTGAGAAGAGGGCCTTCATCTATTGTAATCCCTTGTGCAGTTTTGTTGTTTAGTTTTTTTCATATTCAAGATTAATTTGACATGATAGTAATATGTCTTAGTAGATACAGTTCCAGGACTTCCAGTAGAGACTGGGTGAGTGGGAGCAAGAATTTTGCTTATCGTAACTCCAATATGCTTTTGATGATTTAAATGACAGTCAGTGTAAATTGGTGGTGATGCACAGTACAGGAATTTTGGAGTGAGAGAACCCTAAAGGGAAATACTGCAATCTAATTCAACAAATAACCACCAGCTCCTGAACAAGAATGAAAGGCAAGAAAACCTTCACTGTCTGTGCAGCTAGAGTCTAGCACTAAACCAAGGTGTGGCAGAAGGGAAGCCTCACTGAACACTGAGTGGGACTTGCACCTGAAAGACCCCAGTGAGAACATCCTTGAGTTAGTGGTTTTTTTTTATGCTGGCCTCCTTAGCTTGAATGCACGTTTCTTTGGAGAAATGCAGGCTGCTCACAGCAGGTCAGTGTGGGAGCAGCAGCAGCACAGAGCTGTGCAAAAGGGTGTGCAAGGGGAAAATGCCTATTCTCAGGTGCCAAAGTCCCCAGAGCTGATGGGCAGGTCCCAGGCAAGGCTAGTTCAAAACGAATGCAGGTTCCTCCACCCAGGTGATGTGGTTGAGGCCACATAGGGCTCTCCTCAGGCTGGAGGGAGAGGAGCTCCTGGCCTTCCCTCCTCCTCTGCTCTGGGGTAAGCCAGCTGGCAGCCCTTCTTTGCCAGGGCATCCCTGTGCCCTGCTCCTGTGTGGCATGGCTGCCAGGGATGGCTGAAGACGTTGCCACCAGACTGCTTTCAGAGCAGGGAAGCCAGAGGGAACAGGGGGAAGGGAGGGGAAAAATTCAAGAAATCAAGACTGGGAGAGAGCCTCATGCAGCTCCCAAAGACATAGTTTGGTCACTACCCAAATGCCACTGGTGGAAGTGCCAGCCATGCAGCGACCTCAGACAGGCTTCATGGGTGATATGATCATCCAGAATAAAGAAACCTGAGGCTCTTCCATGTACTGGGATGCTGCTGCCCAGGCACACCAGGGTTGTGTGCGGGAGTGCTCAGCTATCAGTCATGCTGTGCTGTATAGCATGGAGCCCACATGAAGGGACATGTTTTACAGAGGTGCAACTTGCTCCACTCTTACCTTGGCTTGAGCCCTTCACTTTATTTTGTCCCAGTGTGATGTAAGCTCTATTCTACAGATCACAGTGACTGGGGGTGGGAGAGTCATGTAGCCCAAGGGAAAAGCAAGCATGTTTATTTGATCTCTTCTGTCCTGGCTGCATCTGGTCCTGCTCAGGCTGGAGAGCCCACACCAGCCAGCTCTGGCCAGTATAGGGCTAGAGAGGACTGGGCTGGCAGTGTTGGCTCTTGCCTTTGCATTAAGGTGTAGAAGCAGGACATGAGCTGGGTTAGACAGGGCTTTCTTGGCTTGCACATCCCATTGGGATAGGGCTTCCTGGGGAGTGCTTGCTGGTTGCCAGGCAGCTGCACTCTGACCTCTAGCTCCTGCTGCCTTCAGACGCCTTTCTCGAGGGTGTTGCTTTCATTGAGCTGGCTCCATAATCCCAGCAGCTAAGGTCTGGGGCCTTGGAGGTCCAGGCTGTCCCCAGAGTGGGAATGAATGCTGCTTCTTCCTCCCAGTGTCCTGGGGAGAGAGGCCTCCACAATCAGGCTGCAGGGCACAGAGGCTTTCGGTGCTCACCTCAACAGAAGTATGTGGGCAGCTTTTGTCAGGAGGCAATATTTACCGTTCAATACTCCAGTGGTTAAGTCTTTTTTTTGGCCTCTGCTGCAGTTCAGCATCTCTTATTCCCTAGCCCTCCATCAATATTAGTTTTCTAGCAGCCTTGCTTCTCTGTTTGTTTAGAGACTTTTTTCTTTCCATGATGTTTTTGATGGTGGCTTTGTTACTGCAGTTAATTCATGTATCTTCCAGTCTCACTTCTCACACCTCCCCTTTGGCAAATCTGTCTATTACAGGAAATATACATATAATTGTAAAGGGCACAGAACTATTTTCCTGCCTCTACTTTCTGAAACACAGGAGGAGCTGTTGCCTTTCCCTACTTTTTGTTACTTCCCTACTTCTGTTACTTGACACAGGTGCCAATGAGAGAACTCAGCAGCAGAAGAAAAACAGTGGCTTTGAAGATGAACTTTCTGAAGTCCTTGAAAGTCAGAACAAGAACAAGCAGAGAGGTCAGTGTCAGCTTACCCCCCAGGAAATCCAGGTCAGGCTGTAAACAAGGGTGTTCTAACAGCCTTGATATGTCCATCTGCTTCTCATTTAGGTATCTTTTTTGATGCTGCCGCTGACACACACAAGCAACCCAGTGTTTGCTTTGTTCTTACTTGCCAGCTGAAACAACATGTAATTTCTGAACTATAATAACTGGTAATGGTCAAGTTACCAAACTGATACTGATCGTTCCCACCAGCAGTCACTCTTAATGCTTAAAATGAGTCACAGCCATGGAAATCCCATACTGAAAGGCTCATGATATTGGCAAGAGTAATCAGGGTCTGCTCTTGCTGCCCCTGTTTCCAGGCATCCAAGATATTAGGTTATGGGTCTCTGAAAGGGAAATTGAACTGAAGATGAGCACTCCCTCACAAAACACCTGCATCTTAGAAAGACCACATCCAGCTGGGATTTCCACTTGTCACTATGATTCTATGGCTGGGTTAGAGATGGCAGTGTAGCAGAAAGGAGGGTTTGGCCTCTTCCCTTTTCCACATCAGGAAGAGATGATGCCCATGTGCGTGAGATGATTTCTTGTCCAGCAGTAGCACCCCCACAGAGGGTCTCGAGTGGACTCTGGGCTGTGTGGCTGAGCCACGGCAGCACAACAATGCTGCGACATCAGCCCAAAACGATGAGGAGTGGTAACCTTGGGGGCTGCTGCTGCATTCAGCAGAGCTAAAAGTCATTGGGGAGCATGGGTGGCACTGGGTCTCCCTCCTGAAAGGGCAGACCTGAACCTCTTGCTCCAGCAGTGTGGAGACTGCATGAGGATGAAGCATGGCATGTTGGGCCAGCCAGGCCCACAAGGGATCCTGGTGCCACCAGTGCAGTGTCAGTGGTGGTCAGCAGCCCTGTATGACTGGCTCTCTGCATGCCCTCACCCCAGAACACTCCTCAGCCCTGCCTGGAGAATGTGCCCACCTTTCCATGCCCATCTGGCTTTTCCCACTGTTCTTTAGCCCCCCATCCTTTCTTGTGCAAAGTGATTTTTATGGCTAATCATGATAAAAGGCCGGACTCTGACATAAGCAAGAGCATATACGCAGCCCCCATTAAGCTCCAGTTGAGTGGCCACCCTTCCTCCAGCTAATCTGCAAGCAGGGCTTTCTGTCTCTTCAACCTGGTAGGAAGAATAAGGATGTGATATTAGTTCAGCACTTTGAGCAGGGAGAGCTGTGCAAGTGCCATATTGCACTCCTAAATCATTTAATTTCAAGTGCTATCTCGTTTCATGAGGGGCAAGTTTGTTGCTGGCATCTCGAGAGATGGTGATGAGGACCGTGCTGCAGCAAAGCACTTCAGCATATGTTTAACTTCAGCCTTGCGACTCTCTCCAGGAGAGGAGGCATCGGTGAGAGCACCAGCTTGCTTGAATGCTAGCATATGTTAAAGTGACTTAAGAAAGGATCCATGGGCTGGTTAAGCAGATTGCTGAACAGGGCTGAGGCTCCTTAAGAAATGCACAGGCTTCACTGGTTACAAAATGAGCTCTCAGGAGAGGTGTTGCTTCTTGCTCCTCCCTTTGCAGATGCAGCAGGGGAGCACCCTAAAGAGGAGCAGCCCACAGGGTCCCTGACTGAGCTGGCAGCACAGAAACACCAGCAAAATGAAGATTCACGAGAGAAGGGGAAGAACAGCCTGGAGGAGAGGGAGCCCAGGCCGCAGGATGTGAACCCTGGTGAGAAGGAGTATCAGGAGCAAGCAGAGAGCAACGAGATCAGGGACACAGAGGATGCTCAGCGAGATGAAGCTTTGGACAACCACACCAGTAAAGACTTCAGTGAGGATGAGCAGCAGCAGCAGGAGGATGAAGAGGAGCAGCCCAGGGACCCCAGGGACAGCCTGGAGCTTGAGGATGAGGAAGAGCAACCATCCAGGAAGGACCAGGAGCAGAGCAGGGAGGCAGCAGGGGAGCATGGGGAGCGGGAGGATGACAGAGGAGATGATGCTACAGAGGAGGACCCTACCGAAGCAGAGAGGTCACTTGATTTGGCTGAGGAGGACAAGGAGATGCAGGGAGATGACAGTATGTATACCAGACGACTGCACTGGTTGTGTGCTACCTGGGGTGAGCTGAGGGCACTGAGACAGACAGATAAGAGGCTTTAAAGCCTAAAAGTTCAGGCAGGTGCATATTGGGTTTACAGAAATACCCCTGTCAACAGCCACCCAGACCCCCACACAAGTGCCTGACCACATGGGCCCATGCACAGCAGGTGACGCAGGCCCAGCAGCTGCCTTGCTGCTTGCTGCTCAGCTTCCACAGCATCTCAGGACAACTGATTCCTTTTTCTTGAACTTCCTACATGGTTTTTGTCTGCTGCCTCCCAGCCCTGTTACTGACACGGTGACATGAGAGTGGGTATTTTCGGAATGCTGGGAAAACAGGCCTTAGTCAGGAAACCCATCTTGCATCGCCCCTACAGGCTTGGTTCAAAGGTGGAGGTAACCAGGTTAACACTTGTGATCTGTGATGTGCTTAATGCTCTTTCAGATAACGACGCTCTGGGATTTGGCAAAGATGAGCGGAGCTCTGAGGAGGAGGAGGAAGAGGAAGAGCAGCCCCGGGTACTGAGAGGAGGAAGGCATCACCTGGAGGATGAGGGGATGCAGGGTGAGGAGGATACCTTCCAGCCCAGGGACACCAAAAGTGAGGAGATGGAAGAGGAGTGGGAAGACTCCAAGAGGTGGAACAAAATGGATGAGCTGGCCAAGCAGCTGACATCAAAGAAGCGCATGGAGGAAAATGATAGTGGGGAAGACCCAGACAGGTCCATGAAAATGGCATTTAGATCCCACAAGTATGACTTCAATAGTCCAGAGGAACATGTGAGAAGGTCATGGAAGCACCACTCTAAAGAGGATAGCAGTGAAGGAGGCTTCCCACTTGCTCCCATGCCCGAAGAGAAGAAGGATGAAGAAGGCAGCGCTAACAGGAGAACAGAGGTTGGTGTACGTAGCCTCAATAAATTCCTGCCGGTTACTACTGGGGAATCCAAATTATGCTTAGAGGTGTGGATGGTACCTTGGTGTTATGCAGCTGGCATTGGTTCTCTGTAACATTAAGGAGAGGATTGGTTGCCTTTTAGCCATTCAGCCCTAGGGATTATTGAGATTTGCACCACACTGTGCTTTTGGTTTTTATTGTTGCTTTAGTGACTAATGGAAAACCATGCCCTGCCCAAGAAAGTCTTAAAAATGTGACTTTTGCACTAGCCTGTGCTGAGCATGGCCACCAGAGCTATATCTGGAGCTTGGGGTGGGTTTTGTGTCCCAGAGCTCCACCAAGTCAAAGGGAATACTTTCCCTGGCGCGGGAATGGAGTCAGTAGTGTCAGTGTTTGGTAGGAGCTGCCTCAGCCCTGGCTCCCAGCCAGCCATCTCCCTTCAGCCTCAGACTCTGGAGAAGGAAACCTGTTGGGGGCTGCCCTGCTCAGCAGAGGGGCTTGAGAGGGACAATAACTACATCTTGTCTCCATCACCAGTTGCAGCCATTTAACACCAGGACAGGACTAATCAGTGTTGCACACAAGTACCTGTCCAGAGGAGCAGATGGGGAGATGGGGCAAGACATTGCTGTGCTCATACCAGCACTGGCAGGTAGCCCTGCACAAAGTTTTCCATAGTTCTGGGGGAGAGGGCTGCCCACCTGTGGATGCTGATGTGTGTGCGGGGCTTTCCTTGCAGGACCAGGAGCTGGAGAGCCTGGCCGCCATTGAGGCTGAGCTGGAGCGTGTTGCCCACAAGCTGCACGAGCTGCGGCGAGGCTGAGGGCCCGGCCCTGCCCGCGCAGGCAGAGGCCGCTGGTACTGCCCTCCCACCCACCGCATCTCCATTTCCTGATGCAAGAGCAAGCAAGCGGAGCAGAAGCATTGTGCCCAGGAAACCGACCTCGCTAGTGCCCAGGCCTGCCTCCCTCACCATGGTGTTGTGCCCATCGCTGCTTCTTCACCTCATGCTCCCCTGTCCACTCATGCTCACCAGCCCAGCCAGGTGCTGGTGGGTGCGAAGAGCAACCTACATATGTATTTTCTGTCAGAGTGGGGTTTTTCCCTCTGTTTTATAAGAGAAGACAGCTTTCTAGAGAGTTTTCCTTCCACTGGTAGTTTCACTGGGTAAAAAAACTTGCAATAACTTGTTATCTTTTGATTAAAAGCTGAGAAATCTGACTGTAATATATTCTATATAAAAAATTTATCTAAGGAAAAATAAAACTGCTGTGGGTTCCTTCCCTTGTTCTGGCAGCTTTAGTCTCAGTCGTCAGCATGCTGCAGGGCTTGTATGGTCCTGGGGGAGAAGAGGGGGAATGGCGCCTTCCCCGCAGCATGGACACATTGTAATGGCATTTCCCTCCTTCCCCAGCCTCCACCACCACTGCCCCCTGAGGCCCAGCATTGAGGACACCTCCCTGAGGTCGTGGGCACTGAAGGGCTCTCCCTGCCTGCCCAAGGTCTGGCAGCGCCATACAGCCCAGACATGGTGCTGGGTGTCCCAGGCACTTCAGTGAGACATGGATCATGGCCATAGTCCACTGAAGAACATGGGGTTGATGAGAGAGAACACATTTGAGCAGTTTAAACACTGGGCAATGCTTGACCAAGTCAAACTATCTGGACAATGCATGAGTGGGTTAAAAAAAAACCACAAGTAACAAAGAGGCTACTCATAAGGAAAACTGCTGGTCTGTGTTCCCCAGGCGTGAAGGCCAGTCCTGAGGGGATGCCACTCCTCACAGGAGCCGTGGTGACCTGACACCTTGCTGGTGGGCAGTGAACCTTCCCCATCCTTAGGGCTGCAGGCCACACACCAGCTGCAGGATGGGGTGCTGCCGGCACTGGAGAAGCTTGCCCCAGAAGTCTCTGATCGTAAGACATTATGTGTATCAGCAGAAGAAGAAAAGGCATTCTCTGCCAGGGCTGCATCCCACCCACCCACCCCCAGTATGAAGCTCAGTTCTATCTCATCATCCGCAACCCACAGAACAGCTGAGATGCTCCAGGAATGGCTGACAGGCTTTGATCTTGGCATGTTCCTTTAGTTTGCCAAAAACATTAGTGCTGTTGGCCTGCAGAGTTAATTGCTCTGGAGGTGGGCATGTGGGGTCCCCACAGCGCAGGAGGCACTGGGTGTCCAGAGCTGTCCTCCTTGTCCCCAAGGAGGGCTGAAGGAGCAGCTACATGGGCAGTGCCTCTTGCCCCATCCCTGGCCAGCCATGCAGGAAGAGGAGGCAGCAAGGCTCAAAAAGCTGGAGTGGGACAAGCCAGGATAAGGCAAAGGGTGAGAGCCTGGCTGTGAGGAGTGCACTGGCGTTGAGGTGCAAGTCTCCCAACCCCATCCTGAGGAGATCGCACTCTCACTGACCTCAGAAAGATGCATGTAGGAACAGAATGAAACCAACACTGTTCCACAGAAATGACACTAAAATGTCAATTATTAGGGAGTTAATACAGCTGTAAAAGTCACATTTTACATAGTGATTTTAATTTAAATATTGTGTTTAGTTTATCCTCTTTTTTTTTTGTGGTAGAGCCTCTGCCAATAGCATCACCCATACAAACCCTTGCAAACTCAGGTCTACATGTCAAAATAAATTCCCAGAAACCCTCAGGCCCTCACCCCTACCCCTGCCAAACTGAAAAAAACCCAAAGCAAAACACCAATCCCAAACCCAAGAAACCAAACAACACAGCCACCTCCAAAGGAGTTATGACAGGTTTTTCCACAAAGGATGGTTGCAGCAGACAGAACTTGCTGCAAAATCAAGAGCAAAAATAATGTTACTTGATGGAGCTATTATAAACAGTTTTTTAACTGAATATTCAAGCAATCACAAACATTTGGTACCCAAGGACTTTCTTCAAAGGGAAAGATGGAGTTTCAAGGCCTGAGCACAGGGCCTGGGAGGATTCCCCACCAGCTGGGAAGTGCTAGACTCCAATGGGCTGTATCTCTGCTTGGTGGTGTCTCCCAGCTCACTACTGCAGGGCTTAGCCTTGGGGCTGACACCAAGCACTAATCCCCAGGTGGTGTTTACATGAGTGTCCTTGCTGAATGCTTGTTGCTTAGCAAAATTTAATGCCGCTGGGTAAGATATCTCTTTCCTGCTGCAGCCCACATAGAGTCCTGATTAAAACCCCTGCTATGTTTTTTAATTAAGAATTAATTGATTAATCAAGAATTAATCTTGAAATCAAGAATTCCCTATCCAGGATGATAAAGGAAGAATCAACTCAGAAGCCTACACTGGAAATAAATGCTTAAGTATAGCAGTAGCCTAAATCCCAGTGGTGTTTAGCTGTGTTACATAGTAAGACAAACACTTCCCACTAGTGTTAGAAAGCAAATCTTATCTTGCTGGTACAAGGAGGTCCAAAGTAACTGCAAACAACTGCACTGGGGAAAGATGTGAAAACCAAATTCTCATGAAAATGAACATCCCCCAGTGAGCTGCTCACCTCACTACCCTATCCACTCATAAAGAGAAAGCAAAGTAGAAGTTGTTATAAGGCATTTATTTTCATTATGTGTTGGCAAGGGACAATTTTGTCTTCAAAACAATTACAGAGATAATGCCACAAAACCTACCGCATATCGCTTTACTGTTGAAACCAAAACATTGTCCAAAACAGGTGCTTGCAAATGAAAACTAATATATTACCATTGAAATCAATGCTGTTAGATGAAAGCACCATCGCCACTGTCAGATCTGATCAGTCATGCAACCGAAGCCGCCAAATAGCAAGTATTTTTGTACAGTAAGCCATGATCTTTTAAGGGTTTATATAATTCTATACAAATTTAAGTACAAAATGGGAATCATGTTTTAGAAATCATAGTGAACTGGGCTGAAGCGAATCACAAGACACACTTGTTAACACTGTACAGCTGGATCTGAACACAGGTAGATGAACTTGTAAAACCTAGCACACACACAGAATGGTCCCCAAGATTCAGGCATGCTTAGGTGGGGAGCAATGCTGGAGAGTGAAGGAGAATATCCAACACTATGGACATCCAGAGGGCCAGTTTTCTCAAAATTGGGATCCCAAGGAATTGTTACTCCATTTTAAGAATGACTGCATTTTAGCATGTGATTCTCACAAGGGTATACACAAGCTGTATCAAATACTGAATGAGAAATAAATAATAAAAGATACATCTAATACATCTTTTATTTTTAATTTTTTTTTACAGCACTGACTTTACAAGAGGATAAACAACTTATTTTTAGGGGCTGCTAACATCTGAAACAAAGAAGTCACTATTTTATATTCAACATATACTCAATCTTTTAATAACTTTATATATGTATATATGTCTTTTCACACAAAAAAAATGTTAAAATAATTTATATCTAAAAACTACTGTGTAAAGAACAAAGGAGGAAATAAAATGTGGGTTTCCTTAAAAAGGATGGAAGAGGAAGAGCTGATTTTCATGAACTCCATTTGCTGTTTCAGCTATTTCTGGAGTTTCAGGAGATTTCCAGGCCATCAACAAAAGCTTTCCAACATGTTGGGCACTCTCTGCAAACTCATCGCATGCTGGGCAAGGTCACCTGCAAAGGAGCTCCTGTGGCCCACAGGCATCGGTAAGCATCAGCCCCAGTGGATTCAGGGTAAGAAAGGTGGAGAGAAAGAAAACATCTCCCCAGATTGCTATTACAAAGGAGTTAAATTCTGGACCACTGGTATCAGGATTTTACTCCCAAGCTCTGCCTCTCCTCACCTTCCTTCTGCATCACAGACACAGGACATTTTCTTACAGTGGATTTTCTATTTCCACAAGAAAAGTGCCCCAGAATCAGAGGTGGACCAGATCCCAAGAGCCACCTGCACACACACACCTCAAGAATGATCCCCTTTGCTTGTACAGATGCTATTGTGCTCATGTTGCTCAGGAATCGCTCTAACATCTCCATTTATACCTGGATCCTCTCAAACTTCAACCATCTTTAATAATTTTTGTGGCCATGTAAACATGACAGAATCCATGTTGGATCTGAAATACATCAGGTCAAAAGCTCAAGTGTTGATGGCCTGGACCCACACAGAGTGAACAGGGAAAGGAAAGGTAGTGAAGATGTAGAAAGTACTTTTCTGGAGGTTACATTCCTCTCAAATAGATATTAAAGCAATATTACAAACAAAATCAGCAATGTGATCTGCAATGGCGTGTCCATTTGTCTACGAAAGTGAGAGGAGATTATATTAAAGGAAATTTTTTAATCTACACAAAGCACTTTCACATTCTCCTAATTACAAAACACACAGTTGCAACACAATAAAGTAATTGTATACTCAATACAGAAATCAATACATCTCTTACTAAAATGGAGAGAGGAAAAGAAAATTAGCAGGCTAATGCAAGTGAACTCCTGCAAGTGTGCATATGGGGAGAATGCTACAAACTCAAAATAGACTCTATTCACTAAAAACCCAAAATTCAAGATCTTCTGCACAGCTGTGGAAGGCAAGGCTGCAAGCTAGTGTGAAAAAGCCTGACTCACTTGTCACTGCTGCCATGCAAAGACTTTGGGAAACCAGTGTTAGTCCAAGAACTGAGAAGCCTGGATGCATTTTTTAGCTTTTTTCACTCTTTTTAGGTGGCCAATTCAAGCACCTCTGGCCCCATTTATTCTGTTGCCTTTGGACTGTATCCTGCCTCTGTTATCTATCCAGTACTCCACCTGCTTGTTCCCTGTCTGGATACAGCCCACAGTTAACCTGGAAAACCCGAGGCTTTACCCTGAGCAATCCTTCTTACCTTGTGAAGCCTCAGGGTCAG